AGAGAGAGAGAGAGAGAGAGAGAGAGAGAGAGAGAGAGAGAGAGAGAGATACAATTACACGTGCAAATACAAAATTTCACAGCCACGAATTTGCAGAGCGTTTTAATTTAAATTGGCTCATAATTAAAGTAGATATAATTCTGCATTTTATTGAATAAGATTCATTTCACGCTAGTGCTCTGTCTTCAATGGACCACAATCAAAGTGTGAATCTTCAATGTTACCTATTGATTGCAATATTTCTACTTAGCAACAATATGTTACAAGTTGCGTTGTTCTGATAGATTGATACTCCTTTTATAGTTTTCTATCTAACTACTTCACTGATACATAAGCTTCTTCTGCTCGAAGACTATTATTAAACGTTTCATACTTAATATTCTCAATATACGAGTCAGTACAACCCAATTCTTTTTACAATTCTTTTGTAAAAATTAGCTGGGTAGAACTTACAAACTACTGATGTACCTTCACGAAAAAGAACTGGGTTGAAATTTTCAATGAATTCAGTGAAGCCACCATGAGAAAATGATTTCTTTCAAATTCGTTTTACTATACATTACAAACAATTCTGTACAATCTCTTCTTGAAGCTCTATTCTATTCTTTATTTCTTACAGTATCGTTGATGAAATTTTTAACACACATAGTATGCAAAATTAAATTAACGAAAAACTTAATGTTTGATTCATTAATTGTTAGGTAGTTACACAATAGAGTGTAAATCTAAAAGTGTTAAAATTTATTCTATATCTCAAATGTTATCTGTTCAAAGTATATATGTATAGTTAGACTCTAGTTGAATGACTACTGAATTTAACACCTGCTTCAAGTAACTCAACTGATGGAGTCTTAAGCCGGCGACTGACTTGCAACAGAACATTGTAATGTAACGCGAGCATACGCTTACAATTAGTCTGGACGGACTCTTGCGAACGGTTCGCGCTCGACCGTGCTCCACTGGTCTGTCGGTTTTTTGAGAAACCTCTTTGATCGTCTACTTTTCACTGAATTGAGTAGGAAGCATTGAGAGAGAATTCAGCCGAGAGTTCGAAGCGAGCATTCGTGATTTCAAAAACGACCTTGTAACGTTGGTGTCGAACCGTACAATTCGTGCCGAGCAGTTACATTACAGTGTTCTGTTGCAAGTCAGTCGCCGGCTTTATATGTTGGAGTGTTATATGAAGGATAGTATAGAAGCATTTCTATTATTTAGTATTAACAACAGGTCAGATAAAATTATTGTTGAGATTCTTTCATATTCATTCCATTTGTTATATTAGTCTGGAAACTACTTTTGAACCAAAATATAGTTCATGTTTCGACTTAGCAGCTGAATTTCAGTAATAATTAGTTTGCTGGCTCATGTTTATTCAGATTCTGTTTTTACTTTTGAGATGTAGAATATTATTGTAAATTTTTTAATAACTCTTTAGACTTAGCTGATGGTAAAAACAAGACATTTCTCTGTACTTAATGCAAGTAATGCGCATCATGTTCATCCTAGATTATCCAAATATTCCCATTTCCCTGCTCTTCATTTTCACTTATTAACTCTCACAGAGAAACACATAAATATATGCCACGATTACGATTTCCGTGGCACCATGATTTGATTGCGTTTTTATTTAATATAATTTATCAGAAAAACAATGCTGTAAATCGCAATTCTCTATCACGTTTAGTTTAGAAGTAACATTTATTTAAAGTTTGATAACATCATGTTTATAATGAACATAATTTATAAACTAAACATGATAGAGAATTGCGGCATTGTTTTTCTAACAAATTATATGTATAAAAACATATCTGCTTCAAATTCTGGTTGTTGTTTTGGCGATATGGCCAATTTATTCACTTCCTTTCGTGTGATCTATGGTAATGACGTTACTTTGATACGCGCGAGAATGACTTATACATGGGATAAAATATTCCATTCATTAGAGAGTGAAGACTTGGAGAGAGATTCGTCTACGGAGAGAGAACTTTCAAATTTGCAAAAGCTGAAGTAGGTGAGATTTTGTGCGTTATCAGTCCATCTAGAAGAATCGGACAATATTTATTGGTGTAGAACCCTAAGAGCAATTTCTCAACTAGAGACGACGTCTTATTTTATGAGATGCGTTCAATCGAAGTTGACAGAAGTTATAATTTTATTAGAGCCAGTCACTGGAGTGGCGACCCCGACACGAGTGGTTGTCCAATCTTTAACTCTAAAGGTGAGATTGTGTCGATATGTCGCAGTGAAATGATACAAATAGAGATTTGATCAAATCCCTAAGGTAGATGATCAATTCACGGGAGATGTTAAAATAATAACTCCGTAAGGTCATTTCCCTAAAGAAAGTAAGTGATTTAATCAAATCCCTTAACTGTTTTAGCGAAAAGATGAAATAGTATAACTTGATCAAATCCCTTAATTGTTTTAACGAAAAGATGAAATAATATTGTTTAGATATTGAATGTATTTATTTAGTAAATCATGCGTTATTAAAAGTAGAATAGGTAATACAACAATACTCATAGAAATATAAATTATTTATTCGAGACTAATTAGCAAAAGAAATAGGTACTTAAGCTGATATTTTAAAAAACAAAAAGAATATTTTTAGGGAATGTAATTAATAAATAATTCATGTTTCTACGACTATTGTTGTATTACCTACTCTACACTTAATAACGCATGATTTACTAAATTAATACTTTTAATATCTAAACAATATTATTTCATCTTTACACTAAAACAGTTAAGGGATTTGATCAAATCACTTACTTTCTTTAGAGAAATGACCTTACGGACTTGTTATTTTAACATCTCCCGTGAATTGATCATCTACCTTAGGGATTTGTTCAAATCTCTATTTTTATCATTTCCCTGCGACAGATATACGGACTAGGTCGCATAGAAGAACGTGGCATCGCCAGCGGTCGTTACGTCATAAGCATAAACGATGGAGACTTATCGGCGTTGACTGTCTTACCTCCCGATAATTCAGATATACAGGCCGTTGGAGCGGCCGCCTATCGCGTAGCCTACGCTCAACCGTCATACTCGCGCTCTGATTGGTCAATGTTTTCTGTTAATATCTCCTTAACGAAACCTCGGACAACATTTTCGCTAAGGAAAAAGTTGTTTCAAATCACCTCCCGAGCCACCTCCCGAGCCACCTCTTTCAAGGTGTTACAACATTTTTGGGACACCCTGTATAAATAAAAACACAGTAAAATTCCGACGCCACGGAAATCGTAATCTCGTCATAAGTATCATATTTATACGATAAAATCTCAATTCCAGAAGAAAATGACCTTGTACCTTCGTAACTCACAAAATCATACATCTTCCGAGGGTCAATATGTATAGAAATGGAAAATTCAATTTACTTAACGTAATCAAGAAGCGATTGTATCATCGTCGGATAGTCAACGATCGACCATAGATTTTTTAATATGTTTCTTTTCATTCCCACTTAGGGATTACCTATTCCTCTTGCACGTACACGCGGATTCGAGGTTTACGATTCGTCGTCCTCTGAGAAAGACTGTTCGGTGTCGTGTTCGCTGCTATCGCAACTAGACGTGACATCGTTCGACGAAGAATACGTAGTGTCTGGAGTCGGTGGTAGAGACGGTCTTGGTATGGTCTCTTCCGTCGAGGACGACACGTCCGCGTCCTTGCAATCCGACGCGTCCAATCTCTGTTGCACGCACTTGTTCTCGGGATTATTTAGCACCGAGTGGATGAAGTCACGTGTCTCCGCGCTCAGTGCGTTCACCCTTTCCTGAAGGATGTTGTTCCGTCGCACGAGGGCCATTGTGCGCACAACGATGTCTAGAAGACCTGCGAAGTCGTCAGAACAAATCAAAATTATTCGAGACTGCCATCGTATACACTTGAAAATGTTGTGTTCTTCTAGATAAAAATCTATCGGTTAAATGTTTTCTGTTCGTTATTTTAAACAATTGAGTATAAGCTTAACTAAAGTTGAATGTGTTATCTGTTAAAATTTTGAAAAGTTATAAATATAACACATTTTTAATGTTATTTCAATATTAATTTATTACACATTGTCTGCGTAAGTTTAATGTAAAAAAATATGTCATGTATTATTTGCAACATTTAATTCGTGTACGTTTTTATAGAAAAATTGTGTTATTTAGATTCAATAACACTTATGAGCTGCAAAGTCAATGTTAAGTGAGTGTTGTTTGGCTGAAAACGATCACGTTTAATTAATACGCGATTATATTCAAAGAAAAAAAAAGAAACAACCGATCATCTCTATTTTATTCGTACCACAGAAATGATAGTTTATGTAAATGAGACTTTATTCGGGAGATACCGATAAAAGTTTATATAGATACAATTTTATTCGAGAGACGCAGGTCAAAAGGTTATTTATGAAACACAGATAGAAGTTCATCTGTGTATATAAAACTATTCGCAAAGCACAGACAAATGTTTATCTAAATATAAATTTGTGATTATTATTGCAATCTACATTTATGAATCAGAAATTTGTAATCTTTCAGAGCTAATCGTGTTTAATTATTCATTAATTATTAACTGCACAAGATTATTCATTAATCATTAATGAATGGCTGTGACTGATTTTATCATGTATTATCTTGTGTATTTAAAATTTACAATTGGTATTTTCTATGTCCATGATTCATTATACATATCTGCAACTTCAAAACGATTCGTCTGGGATTAAAATTACATTTGGATTTGATCTAGTGAAGAATTTCGTAATTATGCATTTCCAGAATAAATCGGTTATTTCCAAGTGAATATCGTTACTTCGAGCACAAAATTATTACTTTGATAAGTTGTTTCACGAAATAAGGAAACTCAGCTGCATTTAAAATATTAACACGTCAAGTGTCACGTCACTCACAGGTGATTGACGATAAAGAAATAAAAAAAATTATATTCTCTTGTTAAATATTAAACAGTTTGAAGATTAAAAGAAAATATATTTAAATACCATTCCCTGATAACGAAAAAAGAACGAATCCACGACGTTTTTAAAAAAAATTAAAGCCGACAATTCTTTAAACTGCACTGGAAGAAGACCCAAAGACAACTGGCCGAGAAAAAGTCATCGACAACGTAATTATACAATAAACAAGAAAATCTTTAGGTTTTTTGTTTAAGGTAAAAATTGAACGCTCTACAATACCCGTAAATTCGTAACTTCGGCGAGGAGTGTACGAACATGCCCATATACATGACTTTCCACGTACAATTTTGTATTGAAAAACATTATTTGTTATCACCAGACGGTGGATCTTCATGCAAAATAAAATCTTCGAGAACGTGCCTACAAAAATTGAACCTAAATAGGAAATTATTTTATTCTGCAAATATTATAACATGAACTTTACTTTCAATCTTTTTTATATTCTTGTATATTGTTTGCATTTTGTAGTTTCTTGCACATTCAAATTTCCTATAAATGCATAAAGATCCGCTGTGTAGTTATCACCAAGTATGGAATAAAAGACCCTGAAATTTTCATCAAGATCCGCTTAAGGGACATTGGGTATCTTGAATTAGGAGGTCTAAAAAAAGCGGTTTTTCGTGAATTTTTTTAGGATGGAAAAAAATAATTAATTTTATCGAACTTTTTCTCCTATTTTCATACATATTTGTGTAGTCTGTAGAAATTTTTTCAACAAGAAATATTCAAATTGAGTCGACTGCGACGCACATTTGTAGAGCACCTCACAATTAAAACCTGCTGTCGGCGGGAAAGATGCAGGTCGTAATTTTGGTTTGACACAAAAAAATCAAAAGAAATTTTCATTTTCATACGTTTTCCTTCTATGTGAACTAAGAAAAACCCGCAAAAATGGTGAAATGTGAAATTACTGCAAGTTTGAAAAAAAAGAACGAGTTCTTTGGGTGAAAGAAATCACTTTAATTTGGTAAAAAAGTTGTTTAAAAATTTTTTAGTATGAATTTTTTTAGTTCACATAGAAGAAAAATGTATGAAAATGAAAATTTCAATTGGTTTTTTTGTGTCAAACCAAAATTACGACCTGCATCTTTCCCGCCGATCGGAGGTTTTAATTGTGAGGTGCTCTACAAATGCGTGTCACAGTCGCCTCAATTTGAATATTTCTTGTTGAAAAAATTTCTACAGACTACTCAAATATCTATGAAAATAGGAGAAAAAGTTCGATAGAATTAATTATTTTTTTCCATCCTAAAAAAATTCACGAAAAACCGCTTTTTTTAGACCTCCTAATTCAGGATACTACCCCCTTAATACATTATTTTTTTTAAAATTCGTAAAAGAATGTCTCTTCTTCAGCGTCCTGAACAGAGCTCCCTCTTAAATAATCGTGAAACGGGAAGATACTGTATTTGAAGACGATATACACAATATACAGTAATGTTAATTCTTGCAATATTAGAATGCAAATGAGTGTCCAGAGGTTTCTTTGCACGTTGAATATCGTAGTATAATTGGCTTTCATGAGAAAATATTTAAAGATACTGAAACTTCAAAAATCGATGTGTTCGTGTAATTTTGATACCCAGTGTATTTCGGATAACCTTATTTCGAAATTGTCGAGATCAGTCTGGGAGTCGGTGTTCAGTCTATTCGTGTTAAATTCTATCGTTGTTTAACGTTACGGAAACCACACCTTTCCGCCGCGCCAGGAACACTCTCCAATGTTCCTCCGCGTCCGTTGGTACTCGAGCAGAAACGTTCGGAGCTGAAGAACTGACGACAGTTGGGACGCAGGAGTCGTTTGGACACTCTGGTTCCCAGAGAGGACTTTCTGGCGGCGTTAAAGACGCTTTATCGTGCCGCGGCGTGTTTATCTCCATCCTCCTCAACTCGAATCTCTGTTGCTTCGCAACGGTTCCATTGGAAACTCTTTGTCGTCGACGAGAACACGGGATCGTTGATTTCCTTACCGCTGGCAGCTCCGACAGGCAAATGGTCGGAGCCATTTTGCAACGAGTAATCTGCAATCAGAAACAAATTATCGAATTTAACGTTACGTTCCCACAAACTTCTACGAACAAAATTGAATTTATGTTCGACGAGTACATACAGTGGGTGTAGAATGTATTCGTACACTGATCAATTTCAAAAATTTGGACGAAATTGTAGTTTCTTAACTTCTTTTTTTATATTGTTTTTATACTTTCAATGATATTTTACGTATTCTTGGAAATCTTTAAGATAGATATAGTCCAAACAACATTTACTAGTTAATAAAATTTGTGAAATTAACAAAAAATGCGAAAAGTGGTGTGACGGGGCAGACATTTTCTGCACAGTCCAGAGGTAGGTCCGCGAGAATGGAGGGATGCGTGAATCGCGGTCATTAGGGACCCCCTTTGTCGCGTCCACTTACCCCTCGCGGGTAGAGCCGCGACTTCGCGCGAGCGCGGCAAGTCGCCGGTCGCGGTGTCCTCCACCCCGGGACCCCGGTGTGGCCGCCACCAAGAGGACTCGTCACCCTCCCAGGAAGGACACACGCCTGTCATCGCCCCGTAGCTACCACGGGAGAAAGAATAGCCTGGGGATGTCATGGTGGTGGCACACCGTAAGGAGCCCCTATAGCTCCTGGCTGGGGAGAGCCGTGAGTCGGCGGCGAGAAGAGCGCGAGTGTGTAAGGTGTGTAGTGCCTCCAGGCGAACTCCCCCACCGAGGACCCTAAGAGGCCAATCTTGGACCCCGGAGCCTGCAGCTTCCAGGTAGGGCCCACTGGCTGGGTGTTCTCCCTTTTGTGGCGTGCGTCTGTGTGTGAGCGCGAATCGTGTGTGGGTGTTCCCGAGCGTGCTCCGGAGCACCCTTTTCGTCCGCGACAGGACCACCGCCGGAGAGGAACTCCGTTGGACTTCCCTCCGTCCGTTTCGCGAATCTCCCGCGTGACCTCGCGTGGTTTGAAAACGTGCCGCGTTTCGAAGGAGAGGTCCCCTTCGAAACACGCAGCCGTTAATTCCCGGCGTAATATTTTTCCGACTGTATTTTGGTTCTAGAGCGGATTCTTGTTAGCGAGGCCCCCATAGAGTTAAGTCGCGCCGGTTAAGTATTCGTTTCCTGTCCTTCGGATATTTTCTTTGTGTATCGGGAATTCCGCGCCGCGTATCCTTTCCGGCGCGTAGTCGCCACACCCTTTCCTCAACGGTGTGTTTACCGCGGAATTCCCCCGCGTCGGTTTCGACTAAATAAAGAAATTCGATTAAACGTACGTGAATCAATGTTTATTTCCCCTTTCGACCTACCCTGGGTTTCGTTCTCCGTAGAGCAGCCGGAAGGACGAAGGGAACGGACGTGTGCACTTGCCACTGGCTGCAACCAGGGCCTTCTTCTTCTTACCCCGGGTCCATACTGCGCGAACACTACATACTTCGCGTACATCGGTCGTGAACATGGTAGCTAACTCTGTTATTCACCGGTTTTCGCCGTAGTGTGAACGAGAAATAGCAGAGTTCGCTAACGAATGACCCTTCTAATAGGCATAGAAGTAGTCGTAAAAGTAGCCCCGTTGGGTTAGGCGAAAACTGTGTTCGCGAACCAAATTCAGCGATCCACGAGGTGGTGGACTTGGCGAACATCGCCTTTTTCCTCGTTATTGTCCCTTTTCAAACCCTCGGAGCTTGGGCATTGCTATTCTTTCCAACTGTGGGGCTGGTCTTTATGACCACCCCCAGGTAGGTACATACTCCAAAGGGATAATATGCGTGACCGAAGTTAACATTATTTTCTTATTACTCATCCAAGTTTGTATATTTTTTGTTGTATCTTGATGAAAGTATATGCAATATATTGGCGAGATTTTCCTGATAAAAAATGGCACCAAACACAATCCAATTCAGACAACTTTAAGTTTCGTTTACAATATGCAATATTTTTATAATATTAATACTTGATTTTGTGAGCCAGTAACCGATTAGAAAGTCTCTTCGAAAATAGGAAACAGATTGTAAAATTCTTGCCAGGAGATAATTAGGGCCTATGAAAAAACTAGGTAACTTATGTAGCTATGTGAACCTGATACCCGACTTTTAAAAAATTCTTTTTTTTTATGGAAAATAATAGCATTTCGTTTGTACTTGATTGTACCATCAATAGTTTCGTTTGCACCTTCATCAATTGATAAATAAAAAAAATAAAAAAATGACAAGCACTCGACATTGAGATTTTTGAAATCTATTTTCTCCCTCTTCTTTAGAATTGTTTGTACCCGTTTGTATCGCTTTTTGTTTCGTTTGTACCTCGATAGTTTATGATTTATAAGCAATTGTTTATATGCGTCACTCATCAATTCTGCGTATTTTTGAAGAACTCATTTTGAAGTGGAAACGTAAGGGAATGAGACCGCATTGTTTTCAAAATTAAAGTTACAGGCACAGAGAAAGAACAGATTTGAAAAATTTTGAAAATTAATTTACTGCTTTCTTACGCGTACAACAATTGGCTGTAAAATTTAAACTAGTGAAGTATAAACGAAGTGAAAAAAAAAATTACAAAAATCTCAATGTCGGATGCTGGGTGATTTTTTTTTTATTTTTTTTATTTACTAATTGATGAAGGTACAAACGAAACTATTAATGATTCAATCAAGTCCAAACGAAATGCTACTATTTTTCATAAACAAATGAATTTTTGAAAAGTCGGGTATCAGTTTCACATAGCTAACTTTTTTAAGACCGGAAGCTGATAAGGGACGTAAAATGGTATTTTAAAAAATATTAATAGGCAAGCATAAAAAAAAGATCAACGAACATTTCTTGAAGAATAGTATGTGTAATATATATAGGCTGTAACAAAATCTATTACTTATTATAAGCGAAACTCAAAATTGTTTGAATTGCGTCGTGTTTGATATCATTTTTATCAAAAAAATCTCGCCAATATATTGCATATATTTTCATCAAGATACAACAAAAAAAGCATAAAAAGTTGGATGAATATTAAGAAATTAATATTAACTACGGTCACGCATATTATCCCTTTGGAGTATCTGCCGGTGGGTGGTCGTAAACGGCGTTTGCTTTCAAGCATTTCCAACCATGGAGGGGATGCGGATCGCCCGAATCCACAAAATAAAATAATTTTTCGGAAAAAAAATTTAACCGACTTCAAAAAAGGTACAGTGAAAAGTATGAAATAATTTCTAGGTAATTTATATGAATACGCACTAGCTCTAGATAAAAGTATGGGAAAATACAGTAAAAAGTATGAAATAATTTCTAGTTAATTTATACGAATACACACTAGCTCTAGATATAATTACTTAAAAGTGTTGGCGCAGTGAGGAAGAAGACACATTAGTTAGAACTAATAAATAGGTTATATATTTGTTGCTTATTACATAGTTGTGAAAGGTATATATATTATAGGTAATTAACATGAGATCAACGTATAAATTTGTCACGTTGCAAACACGCGGCGCACATAACAAGCAAGCATGCCCGAACAGAAGTAGCGCCGCCTAACGGTGGGCCTCTGTAATACGCGTTTTTCATTTGATTGACGCGCGCTAATTATAATTACTCTACAAAAAGTATGGGAAAATGCAGTGAAAAGTGTGAAATAATTTCTATTTATACTGCATTGTTATTCACCATCGTTTGAATGAATTTGGTTAAATTATTAAATACATCATATTAAATGCAATGCACCTTTTTCGGAGGCGGCGCATAATGTAAAAAATGTTTAATTCCAGTTTGGGTTAGCTTTTGGTAGAGGCGGCAATATTGAATGCTGTCAATGTATACATGTTTATTGTCTATGAGGAATTAATAGTTAATGTATATAGTATGTACACGGAAATATAGTGTGAGTAGATTTGGGGCTTTTTTGGAGGGGAGTGGCGGCCATATTGATTACTGCTAATGTATAAACTCTCCCCATGGAAATACTGTATGAATAGGTTTGGGATAGTATTTGGTGGGGGCGGCGATATTGAATAGTGTTAATGAATGTGATGTCTAAAGCGGATATAATAATAGCAATAATTAAAGGCCATATTTTTTGTTCCTCGAACAGAAAGTTAAACCAAGTTTGGCAATTTTGAATATACTTAATTTTCAATTTTGCGCCGCCTCCGAAAAAGGTGCATTGCATTTAATATGATGTATTTAATAATTTAACCAAATTCATCAAACGATGGTGAATAACAATGCTGTATAAATATTAATTATTTCACACTTTTCATTGCATTTTCCCATACTTTTAAGCAATTATATCTAGAGCTAGTGTGTATTCATATAAATTACCTAGAAATTATTTCATACTTTTCACTGTACCTTTTTTGAAGTCGGTTAAATTTTTTTTCCAAAAAATTATTTTATTGCACTCGTTTTAGTGGCAATCTATAACCAATAGGTTTCATGCAATAACAATAGTTATGAGCAATATACAGGATGACCCAAAAACGTTGGAGGTCCTTGAAAAGGGTTGTTCGCTTTTCTTTTCGTGTGTACCTCAATAGTTTAAATTTTATAGCAATTGTTGATCCGCGTAAGAGTGAAGTTCGTTAATTTTCAACTATTACTGCTTTCTTACGCGTACAACAATTGGCTGTAAAATTTAAACTAGTGAAGTATAAACGAAGTGAAAAAAAAAATTACAAAAATCAACTATTGAGGTACAAACGAAAAGAAAGACATTTCCGGCGGGTACAAACGATTCTCAGGAATGGGGAAAAAACAAATTTTAAATATCTTGAAAATTAACGAACCTCACTCTTACGCGGATCAACAATTGCCTGTAAAATTTAAACTATTGAGGTACAAACGAAACGAAGAGCGGTACAAACGGGTACAAACGATTCTAAAGAATCGGGAAAAACCGATTTCAAAAATCTCGATGTCGGGTGCTGACCATTTTTTGAATTTTTTTGAATTATTAATTGGTTCAGGTACAAACGAAACTATTGGACGTACAATCAGGTACAAACGAAATGCTGTCGTTTTCTATAAAAAAAAAATTAATTTTTGAAAAGTCG